TGACCCTCTTAGTTGTCGGCAAATGTCATCTCTCTTGGGTTTCAAACCAAACCAAGAGTAACCTTGCTCTGATACTAATTCTTAGGTTCAAGAGTGACACTAAGAGGGGGGGTGAATTAGTGTAGCGAAAAAATCATTGGTTTTGAAAATATTCCTTCATTGAAACTAATTCGGAAAGTGCTCGACTTTAGAGTAAATGAACTAGCAATTAACTTAAAAAGTAATGGCAGTAATGAAAAGCAAAATGGAAATGAGAACAATGGAATTTATAGTGGTTTGGTCGTTGTGACCTACATCCACTTCTGATCCCTCCTCCGTTGAGGTCATCGACATCCACTAATAGTCTTCCTTCAATAGGCGAAGACCAACCACCTCTTTACAGCGCTTTCTCCTTTTCACGGGTTTAGGAGATAATCCTTACAAGCCTCACACCTCTCTTGAATGATCACAAGACTTAGAACGGGAGGAGGACTCTTAGCACTTTGAACAATATCTTGAAGTATTGGGGTCTTAGCACTTTCGTGCCCTTTCATGTAGAAAAAGGTTGGATATTTATAGGCCATAATGGCTTTAGAATTGGAGCCAAAAAGTGTTACATCCTTAGATTTCGGGGTACTGGCAGTACCACTGCTATTATTGGGTGGTACTACCGCCTGCAGACTGATACTGGGTGGTACCATCTCTTAGTCTGGGCAGTACGACCGCCTTGCTCTAGTGGTACCATCGCTTGATAGGGTGGTACCACCGCTTGACAACATTAACTGCCGGTAGTACTATCACCTAGTCTGGATGGTACCACCACTTAGAGCACTTGGGAAACTGAGTCCTAGGCGGTGCCACCGCCAGTCGTGACTTCAGGTGCTGAATGGGCTATTCAACTGGCCCAATTCAGCCCTGTTAAGGGCCCAATTGGCCCCTAACTAAGTTAATGGGATTACCTCCCAATCCTAACTCAACTTAAGGTCTAACTATGATAATTTAAGACATTAACTAAGTAATCTTGGTCTGGTATGTCAATTGTTCTTTTGGTGACTTCCAACGAACTTTCGACGATCTCTCGGCAATGTTCCAACGGACTCTTGGCAAGCTCCTAGACTTTACAACAATCTTCTTGGTGAGTTCTGATAAGCTTCTTTAGTAAGCTCCTGGACTTCTCGATCAATTCCGGTAGAACTTCCGATAAACATCTAGACTTCCGATGAACTCTCGAACTCCCAACGAAATCTTGATCTTGACTCCAGCCCAACATCTGCTTTATGCCTTATTGAATGACCCTCTTGATTGCCGGCAAATGTCATCTCTCTTGGATTTTAAACCAAACGAGAGTGACCCTTGCTCTGATACCAATTGTTAGGATCAAAAGTGGCACTAAGAGGGGGGGGATGAATTAGTGCAGTGAAAAATTCTTCGATTTCGTAAAATATTTCAAGCGTTCAATAAAAACCAATTTTGAAAGAAAGCAACTTGAAACGTATGAGAGCGTAAGCATAGTGAAAGCTAGATGAGGAGGAGAAGCAGCTTGCTATGAAATGATTTGCAATTAAAGTAAATTGCTCAAAACGAAATGCAAACCAGAATTTAGAGTGGTTTGGTCAATGTGACCTACATTCACTTTCGGATTCCTCCTTTGTTGAGGTCACCAGCGTCCACTAAAGGCCTTCCTTAAATAGGTGAAGATCAATCACCTTTTACAGCTCTTTCTCCTTTTGTCAGGTTTAGGAAAGAACCCTTACAAGCCTTACTCCTCTTTCTTGAATGGTTACAAAGCTAAGAGAGGGAGAAGGAAAACTCTAGCACTTTTACACCCCAATGATTCAAGATTATAATCACACTTCGGTACCCTTTCATGTAGAAAAGGGTGGGGTATTTATAGCCCCTAATGACTTCAAAAATGGAGCCAAAAAGTATCTTATCTCAGTTTTCCGAGGTATTAGCGGTACCACAGCCATTACTAGGCGGTGCTACCGCTTGTAGTCTGACACTGGGCGGTACTACCGCCTGATAGAGCTCGAAGACCGAGCTTTGGCGGTACCACCACCTGATAGGGGCGGTACCACCGCTGTCAGCAATAATTGCTGGTGGTACCACTGCCCAGACCACCTAGGAGATTGGGTCTTCTTGGCAGTGCCACCGCCGGCCCTAGCGGTGCCACCGCTGGTCAGAGTCCAACAACCTGGTTGGGCCTTGTATTTGGCCTAAACCATCCTAGCTTCGAGCCCAATTGGCCTCTAATAGAGTTGATGGGATTACCTCCCAAATCAACTCTAATTATTATTCTAACTACGATTAAGGCAAGCATGGTCCGTTACGTCGATTTTTCACTCGGCGATCCTCCGGCGAACTTCTCGGCGAGTCTTCCGGTGAGCTTCCAGCGAACTCCTGACCAACTCTTGGTTAGTCTTTCGGCATGCTTCTGGCGATCTCCCGATGAGCTTTTGACGAGTCTTCTAATGTGCTTCCGGTGATCACACGATGAGCTCTCGGCGAGCTCCTGGTATATCGTCCGAGTCTTCGACTCCAGCCCATCATCTGTTTTACGCCTTACTGTTATCGTAGTTAATCCTACACACTTATCTCAACATATTGATTAGATCAAATAATTTACCAATTGATTTCATTTCAACAAAAGATAGTTTTGCCCCTCGGAATTTTAAAAATTTCACGTTCTGTCCTTTATCCAAATTATGAAAATACCCCTCATAATTCAAAAAATTTCATTCATGTCCCAATTTCAGAAAATATTAGTTAAAATATTTAATTAATTATTATGATTTTTATTATCTAGTAGTCATACATGATGATGTGTACATGTGATGTATGATATGTGGATGGATGATCATGGACCGTGTGATGATGTGTGTACTTGTGATTATTATTATTTAGGCTTGCGAGTCTCTATTTTATTTTTCGTTTATTTTTGGGCCTACGTGCCTATGATTAAGTTGTAATCACACGAGGAGGCACAACGGGAAAGTGGAAGCGATAGCAGGACCCACGATACCGAGATGGACGATCGCAATACATTGAAATACGTCGAGACGCCGACGAAATCGACGATGACGAGATGGATGATCACAAGGTATGGAGATGCACCGCTGCATACGTAGATCTTGATGTGAGTGATTAGGCCCACTGGCTGAGGCATGATCACATTAGGTTATTGCCCATGATCATATGGTATGATTACTCATGTAATGTGTGATTGCTTATACACCTACTAGATATGTATATATATTTGCATACGATGTAGATATATGTATATGTGTGACATGTCATATTAGGAGACCAAATCAAAATTTCCTCTCTCGATAATATTAAGTCAGTAAACGTGAGGCAATTAGATTGACCCACATGGCCTTCCATTATTATAGGTAGGACCGATTCTCAATGTAAGTTGAGTTAGTCGAGAGTCCCTCGAGGCTCACCTATATCACGATTCGCTATCTTGCCTATGACATAGAGATGTCACCGGTGACTTGAGGACATGGTATGCTTGGTCGAGTCCCTCAAGGGTATATCATCGAATCAGACTCATCTTGTAACAATGATGTTGACTTAACCGAACATCATGGTTGGTCGAGTCCCTCGAGACCATGATGGTTCGAAGGCCAAATAGGATGAGAATCATAACGAGTTGTGATCGGCAATAGTTGCCTACCTTTTGAGCTTAATATGATTGGTCGAGTCCCTCAAGGTTACCCTAAGATGCTGATTGAATTCCTATCCCCACTAGAAGTATGCCGGAGACTTTCGTTTCACGTGCTAAGGGTGTTGCGTGACTCGCCAGTAAAATAGTAGGAGCATAGATATAAGTCCCTATCTTGATTGTTTATTTTGTAAAATCTGCATGTTATTTATTTCTACTACATCTTTATTTTCAGAAAATATCGCTTTCAAATCCCTTACGTGATATACTTGATGTCAACCACCTTATTGATCCGAATTATACGGATTGACTCCGCAAATTGAGAATTATTCTCATGATAGAGAAAATCGAGTACGTCATTGATATAGTGATGCCTACGTTCGAGGAAGGGGCAAGCGAGGATGAGATCGCTCGCTACATGAAGTATATTGATGAATCTACGTTGGTAAAATCAACGTGAAAATAAATCGTGTTATACTCACTTTTTTAATCGAGAGTAACATAGTTCGGTTTATAAGTATAATGCAATTAATTTTGTCTAACTCATCTGAGGCTTTAACCATCATAAAAATATATATGATATAAATGTTTTCCTATCAGTTTAACCATCAAAGGAAGGAAGTCCTATATTATTTTTGTGGAGCTTGAGTGGAAGAGAAGGAGAAGGAGGAGGCTATCTTCCGGGGAGGGGTTCGGGCGATGGTTATAACAACAATAGGGGTTGCTTCAAGAGAGAGAGAGAGAGAGAGAGAGAGAGAGCAGTGAAGGAAGGAGTTTTTATAGTTATTAACAACAACAAATATGTTGTCAAGGTATATGAAACGACGATAACCATCGGATGAGTTTTCAGAAGCCACCACCTATCTTAAAAAGAATTATCATTAATATTATTTTGTTATCTAAACCCATGTTTCTGTATTTCAACAAGTGATAGAATATTTAGTCGAATTGTGTTTCATAATAAGTATCACATGTCATTTATATTATTTTTTAAATAAAAATAATAATAATATTTTATAAAATAATATAAAATCAAAGTTCCTAAAGAAATTGTGACAATGTTTAGGGCAACGGAACTGGTTAGGTCAAGTTACTGTATTAGCACCGAAAACAACAATTGAGCTTCAGAAATTTGAACTCTAAACATTTTTCAGAAATGTTTTCATTATTTGGTCAAGAATGAAAAAATGTCTGAAATGGGAAGATGGGTCATGAGACGCATCATCGTAATTAAATGTCTGAAATGGGGCAGAAACTGTCCACGCTTCTTTAGAACCACTAAGGGCCTCAGGGCTACCATCGTAAATATATTCCGAATAAGGCGACAGCGGCTTCAGACTATACTAATCGACCTCATCTGTTATGTGTTTTTGATTTGTTTTTCGAGCTTCATCTCATTTCTCACCCCCTTCTCTCTTTCGATCGTCGTGGTCCGTCGAGCCTAGAGCTTAGGGTTTGTGCTTTATTCCAGGAATAGGTGGTCTCACTCCATTGAGATCTAAGGATAGGTTTCCCCCTCTCGCTGCTTGCGCTCTCCTGATCCCCGTTCGCCCTCCGGTATCGTTCTGGGAAGCCCTAATCCCATCTTCCTGTGCTCTTGAAGTATTGCGGTGAAGGCTGCCCTTGTAGGAATTTCCCAGACTGCGCCGTAAAGTCTCACCTATTCCTCCAGCTCCGTAGCGAAATGGGCGGACGAGCGGTCGTCTCCGATGAGGAAGGTGCAAAATTGCTTCTTGTTCGATGTGCTTTTATTTTATCTTCATTAAATCCCTTTTTTTCACCCCGTCGTTCTTTTTTGGTTCATAGATGAGATCGAAGAGGATGCGGAAGAACGTGCCATGGAGCAGGATGCTGATGATGTTGGCGATAGGGGCAATGACGACGAGGAGGAAGACGAGGAAGGTAGACTTGGAATTCAACTGATGCCTGTCACTTGTGATGATTATAGTTCCTAGGGTTTCGGATTTTGGGACAGTTTTTTTTAATTGCTTAGTTGAGTTGTTCTCTGCCAGCAGAAGAGGGCCAAGATGAGTACGAGCAGGATGGATTTATAGTGGACGATGTAGAAGAGGAGGAGGAGGAGGAAAAGCAGAACAGTGATGAGGAGAGACATAGAAGAAAGAAGAAGAAGAGAAGGTGATGCAGCACTCGACTTTCCTTATGTGTAATTTTTAATAGCTGAATTGCTGAAGATCCTTTCATGTTCATAAATGTACATTATGCACTTCAGAGATTCAGAGAAGAACTACGTTCTTGATGAGGATGATTATGAGTTGCTCCAGGACAACAACATAACTGGCTTTCATCGACCACAACCAGTATGTCTCCTATGCTTGCTACTCAATCTTTTTAGCCTTTTAAATTTTTTTCTTTTTCTTTCTTGTACGTTGGTATGCGTTTCTTCAAGTTGTTACTGTTGTTAATTCTCTGCAGGGTAGCAAATTCAAGCGCTTGAAGAAGGCTGGAAGGGACAATGAAATGGATGAACAATCTGGGTTTTCAGATGATGAAGAATTAGATAGGAACAGTCATGGTGGCCGAACAGCTGAAGAAAAACTTAAGCGTAGCCTGTTTGGAGATGATGAAGGTAATCATTTCTTGAGCTTGACATGATGATTAATTTGCAGAAATTACTTATCCTTCTGTTTGATCACCCAGTGGTACCACTAGAAGATATTGCCGAGGAAGAGGAGCAGCAAGAAGAAGAAGAAGAAGATGCAGACATTATGGGTGAAGAAGATGAAATGGCAGATTTTATTGTGGATGAAGAAGATGTTGATGAGACTGGTGCTGTTGTAAGGTCTGATATGTTATCTTTTAGTGTGCTCCTTTGTCGTTTTTGCTGTTCTCTGACTATTTTGACCATAAAATGACTTTTTATAGAAAGAAAAAGCTGAAGAAAAAGAAGTCGCGACAAGCTCCAGGAGTTTCATCATCTGCTTTGCAAGAAGCCCATGAGATATTTGGTGATGTTGATGAGCTTCTAATGCTCCGAAAGCAAGGACTTGCAGCTGTTTCTGGTGATGGCACCTGGAGTGAAAAGAGACTGGAGGATGAGTTTGAACCTTTTATTCTTTCAGAGAAGTACATGACCACAAAGGATGAAATTATCCGAGAAACAGATGTACCTGAGAGAATTCAGGTAATAAAATAACTTACTTTCTGTTTCTTTAAGCTAGCATATGGGAGATGGACTTGTTTGTAAATTACCAAGCTTCTCGTATTTTAATGTGTTCTTTTCCCTTGCAGCTGTCTGAGGACATAACTGGACCACCTCCAACAGATGATAAGAGTATAGAAGAGGAGAGCACCTGGATAAACAGCCAGCTTAATAGTGGTGGCATCTCTCCTTTAGTTGGTTATGATCAAGTTGTCAAAGAGATAAATAAGGAGGAAATTGGAAATGTCTTGACAATGACGCATGTGCAGAAGCTTGATGTATGGACTATTTTAATGTATTCAATTATGTACTTAAGGCCTTGATGTTAATAACTAATTGCTGTTGTTCCTCAGATTCCTTTCATTAGCATGTACCGCAAAGAGTTATGTCTTAGTCTTTTGAAGGATCCTGATGCCGAAACGCCAGATAATGAAGAAACCCCAAAGATGAAGTGGCATAAGGTAATCAAGTTTACATAACTAATTTTGGTGGTGGGTTACTAAAGCATATTCTGAAGAGCAATCTCAATTATTTTAGGTACTCTGGGCTGTTCAGACATTGGACAGAAAATGGTTGTTGCTTCAGAAGAGGAAGAGTGCTCTTCATTCCTACTACAACAAGCGCTTTCAAGAGGAAGCACGAAGAATTGATAATGAAACCAGACTTGCATTAAATCAACAACTTTTCAAATCAGTCATTGAGGCCCTAAGGGATGCAAAATCTGAAAGAGAGGTCGATGATATTGATGCCAAGTTCAATCTGCATTTTCCTCCTGGTGAAGTTGATATAGAGGATGGTCAATTCAAGAGACCAAAGCGGAAATCATTGTACAGTATTTGCCACAAAGCTGGTCTGTGGGAGGTTGCTAACAAGTTTGGTGCCAGTTCTGAGCAATTTGGATTGCTCCTCTCATTAGATAAGGTGACATCTACTCTTTTCTTGAATTTTCTGATTATTTTATTTGTTTTTAAAGGAATCAAAGATGATATGTTCGTTATTGGGAGTATGGTCATACATTTGGTGAGATGATATATCTTTTGCATGTTGTTTGGGGTATATTTGTTTACTTACTTTAGCTTCTAGCCTGTTGTTTCTGGTGAATTTTTAGTGTTATTGTATTAAATTATGTTTTGCGTGTTCTTTTCTTTACCAGATATTGGACGAGCTTGAAGATGGAAAAGAAACTCCTGAAGAAATAGCAGCAAATTTTACATGTGCTTTGTTTGAAACACCACAAGATGTTCTTAAAGGTGCTAGGCACATGGTATGTATGTTCTGTTCATTTTTCCCTCCCGAAAAGATGTTGTTAAGTTGTAATATTCCTAATCTTAAGTTTTGTGGATTTTGCCACAACTTTGTCTTTGTTCTGTTGCAGGCAGCTGTGGAAATTGGTTGCGAACCTAATGTTCGGAAACATGTACGCAGTATATTCATGGAGAAGGCTGTTGTGTCAACAAGTCCTACTCCTGAGGGAAATATGGCAATTGATCCTTATCACCAGCTTGCAAGTGTAAAGTGGCTTTGCAATAAACCATTATGTGAGTTTGTGGATGCACAGTGGCTTCTCATTCAGAGAGGTGAAGAAGAGAAACTGCTTCAGGTCACAATTAAATTACCAGAAGAGATCCAAAAGAAATTGTTAAGTGATGCTTCCGAGTATTATCTGAGTGAACGTGTCAGTAGATCTGCGCAGCTTTGGAATGAACAACGAAAGATGATATTGGAAGACTCATTTCTGACTTTTATTCTTCCATCAATGGAAAAGGAAGCTCGATCGCTAATGACAGCTCGAGCCAAGAATTGGCTTCTTATGGAATATGGAAAACAATTGTGGACTAAGGTCTCTATTGCCCCTTTCAAGCGGAAGGATGCGGATATTGATTCGGAGGATGAGTCTGAGTCAAGAGTAATGGCTTGCTGTTGGGGACCTGGAAAGCCTGCAACGACGATTGTTATGTTGGATTCAGCAGGAGAAATGGTGGATGTGCTATATGCTGGTTCAATTAGTGTTCGATCCCAGGCTGTTGCTGAACAACAGAGAAAAAAAAATGATCATCAGCGAGTCTTGAAGTTCATGACTGGTCACCAACCTCATGCTGTCTGTGTAGGAGCAGCAAATATGGCCTGCAGACAACTAAAGGATGACATTTATGAAGTACGTCTGGTGTTGTCTTTTTTACTTTCATGTTCAATCTTACATCTGGCTTTTTCCTTGGATTAATTGCAATTTCTACAATATAGTTGGTTATTTTGGTTGTTTTTTGTGTGTGCAACACTATAGCTAGTTAATGTGTGGCTCTAAGGTGCAATTGCTAATACTCCTTTCCAAGGTTAGCAATTTCATATACTGGTACTGTACTGGTCAGAGCTAGGACTGGTTTCGTACCAGTGTAGTGACACTTGACTTGGTACACCGGTACATTCAAAGCTTCAAAAGAAGTCCAGAAAAAAACTTAAAACTGAAAAGAAGAAATTGTTCGATGCATAGCCTGTATTAACTCTGTGCCAGGTGGTACCAACCCACCTGTGTACTGTTGGTCATGTATTGGTAAACTATTGAACCGATAACTTGCTCCTTTCCACCATTGATTGCTCAACATCTGCTCTTTTTTTGATGAGCTTGTTAAGTTACTGATAAGAGTATCATTACTTGTTATTTCAGTGTTATGGTCAATCTTATTTGACTAGTTTAAATATTAATCATAGGTTTTTTTTTCTCTTACTCCTAAAACACTGATCTGGTTGTGATGAACCAAATCCACCTAGCAAATGTTGAGTTTGAGACTTCATCCCATAAATTTTTACATCTAAAAATTATTTTATACTTGATACATTTATCAAAGGTTAAGGGATAAATATCTTAAAGGGGCTACCTTAGTTGGTAAAGATTTTAGTGCTGAGGGAAAACCTTTGCAAAGGTCATTCATGATTGCTGACCTGACATAAAAAATTTGCCTTTGGTAGGCATATTAGAACTAATTCAGGCTATTACCCAACTCTTTTGTCAGTAATTAGTTGCCAAAAGCCATATAGTTATCATGTGGTTTTGTATAGGTATTCATTGAGAAGAAATTATTGGAGGAAAGATGGGTCTTTTTTGGGAGTTAAGAAGCATAATTGTTGGCCTGAATAAAATTACCTGGTTAACAAGCCTTTAGTTAACTGTAGGTTTATGGATTATCTGTAGATTAATATAGTTGCAAAAAATGATCTCAAGGGAAAGGAATCTTTTTTTGTTTGGGGTGTTGGAAAACCATTTTCTTCTTCTTTTCTCTTGTATTTGGGGCAGATGGAGGTGTGAGTCCCTCTTCTTAGGTGGGTTATCTGGAAAACTAAACTGAATTTGAGAACATACACTTCAACTCTAGGTGAGGAAGTTTGGGGAATTGGGTATTTAAGTGATCTTGTGTCACTTATGATTTTTGGTTTTCGTTTATGAAACTAAAATCATGAAAATTGATTTAGAAATAAACTGTTTTGTATCCTCATTAGTTTGGTCCTTCCTTTACATTTAAATTTTTAAATTTTTTTCCATTATTTTGAAAGCTAGTTTGTGCAATTTAGCCCCTTCATTATGATATATGATTGTTTAGTTCTAAAATTTTTTGACAAGCCATAGTTATGACCACCAAATATGTATTGTAATACAAAAGAGGGGTTTCTTTTGGGGAACATGTAACCGCCTTTTCTAATATATATTAGTGATCCCTTTTACATTTCTGCATTTTTATCACTACAAGGTCTGGAAAATCCATTAAGGGAACTTGCCATCACTGATAATAATGGTAAATGAGCCTCATAGAGTAATTCTTTTTATGGTTAGCCTTTACCTGCGAGCCTTTGGAATTTAATGACTCATATACCCTTTTATTTATTAGTTGCTAGTTTGCCTTGTGTCTTTTTGGTCTAATTATAGATTTAACTGTCTATCTTAAGAAAACAACACGGAGCTGCAACAGATGCATTGCTATGGGGTAGGAAGCATCCACTCCTCTTTTGCTCTTTTCTTTCTTTGACTCCTTCCATGCCCAGTGTACAACTAGCTGTGACAATGACCCATCCACCTTGGGCCCATGTTGGTCCTCGATTGAATCAGTATGGGTCTGGTACATGCCAACACATTGATGATTGAGATATGCATCTGGTACATGCCGACCGTGCTGACGCACAGTATGTCAGCATGGGTTTGATACCTCTTTGTGAGGGTTTTGGCTGTCCAAAACCCTTAAAACCATATTTTATGTGTGTTTCCTACCTAATAAAGTCAATATTCATATAATTTAACTAGTTCAACTCTACAAGACAACTTATATTACATTGCAACATGAAACAGAAAAGTAGTGATGAAATCTAAAAAGTAAATTGTAATATATAAATAAGTTAAGAGTTACTGAATTAGTGATGCATAATAAATGATTGTATAATAAGATCATATACTTGTTTCTACCACCAAAATGATTGTCATGATATCACTACGAGGAGTTAGGGTCCTAGATGTAATGATAGTAAAGATATATATGGTATGTCTATATGACCCAAGTATGATACTACTCTCATAACATCTAATACTAGTATACATTGTGCCAATGATGCATCAATGTCGTAGCAGTCATGGTTTCATCATTGTCAACCACTTGTGTTAGGTGGTTCCATGGGCAAGTAGGAATGTAGTAAATATAATTGCACAGCATGTAGTGTGATCGAGACTCTCGTCACTATATTGTTATTTGTTAGTAAATATAAAAATGGCTAACTATTGTCATTCATCAGTAAGCCATCAGATCCAAGACAATAGGAATGCTGACAATATGAGGAATTGTTGTTTGAGTATCATATAGGTTCCGTCTCATATCCTTGAATCAACTGCGACAGATGTTCCCTTTCCTTTACAGCCATATACAAGTCATGTGGATCCTTGTGCTCCATGGTCTACATCCTGGCTAACTGATGACTTGAAGATTTCTCTTGAGTAGTGGGAATGTAAGATTGGTCGCCCTAACCACCATCATCAGTCAAAGCAGTACTGTTCACATCATTTCTATCTTAGCAGACATCATGAAGAGTAGAGTGCGAGGGAGAAGATGTCTCATCACTAGATTGAAACTTGTCTCTCATCGATTGCAACCAATGGATTAGCCGACTACAACACTGACCCTCTCCGTTGTCGAGGTAACCAGATGCACAAGCCATTTGTGTGTTATTATAACCTTTATAAGGGGACAGGAGCTTAAAAGAGTGTCTTTTGAGCTGTATAACAACTCAAAAAGACTTTTGAAGGGGGAAAGCATGGGATAGGCCTGTCCTTCATGGACCATTTGGTTCGAGGCAGTCTGCAACTCGGTTCACCGGTGGTTAGTACCAGTCCAGGTGATATGTCTTGGCCCTGATCATTGTGTTTCCACTACCTCATCTTTCAATTTCATACCTCTTCTCTTCTCTTCATGAGAACCTGGATCTTGGCACTGATGCCACCATCTCCACCAATCAATGGAAATCATGATGAGGCCTCACATATCCCCAAGGAATTTTTGCTAATTCCAATGGCCTATTTCTATCAACTTCGGGCATCTTGGAGTCAGTTCCAACAGTGTATACTTCTCATTAGTTGATTACATAGGACTATAGGAGAGCTCCTATGTTTGTGACCTAAGGTTGGATGTCCTCTTGTGCGTGTGTTGCTTCACCAACTTATGAATCTAGCAAGGCAGGTCTACCTTGCCCACTACCACCAAACTAATCTTCAACTGGTGGTGTTTTCAACCACCATTTAAGGATAGGAAGATTGGTCTATGTCGTAATGATATATAAGGTTAAAAAAAAATGTTATGACATACTTTTTCATTTTTATTGGCAATTTATCTGACGAGGCTGAATGTGAAACACTGCAATTTGAATATCTTGTTACGTATTTTGATCTTTCACCACTGCAATTAACTGTATTTAGTGCTTAGATTAGTTTCAGGTTCATCTCTTACATTGGTTCGTAGGTTTATAGAGCATCTTACACAGCTAATAATTAATGCTTAAGTATTTCATGTCCTCCAATTCCAGGGAGGCATGCTCAAAGTCACTTTCTTGTATGGACTGTGACGTCTGATCTACCTTTGTTATGGATTGACATTTAATGTACTTCATCTTCACTGTGTATGACACATATCATAACTTTCTATAGGCATGTCATTTGGTTGATATGTAGTAGCCTTCATAAAGTAACCATCTAATGTCTGAAAAAACATGTCCATTGTGGGTGTAGTGTGAATGGATAACGGCAAATGGTTGCCTTTTGGAATTAATTTGTTATTTTAATTGTGAATGCTGCATATACTACTTTCCGAAAACAGTTATGATCAGTAAATCATACTGGTTTGACTAAGGACCAGTATTGGACCATTTGGTCTAGTAAAGGTTGAGTATTATTTTTTATTATTCTTTTTGGGTGATAGTGGGCAATAAACCTTTGGATATACTGGTACGCTACCAGTCCAGTAGATTATGGACCTAGAGTTAAATTATTGGTTCATGCATATACATTTAAAGACATATATATCAACTTCTGTTTGATGGCTATTAATTGTTCTGAGAATTTACTAAGGCTTAAAACTGCCCACATGTTATGTTTTGCAGGTTATTTTCAAGATTGTGGAAGATCATCCAAAAGATGTCAGCCAAGATTTAGAATACATCAGTATTGTCTTCGGTGATGAATCTTTGCCTCGCCTTTATGAGAATTCAAGGGTTTCGGCGGATCAACTCCCTGGTCAACCAGGTAAGAGTATTTTCTCTAGGATACGTTACTCATTTTCATGCTAAACCATTTTTGGTGTGGTTTTTTTAAAGGTATTGTGAAACGTGCTGTGGCCCTTGGCCGATATCTGCAAAACCCTTTAGCTATGGTTGCTACACTTTGTGGACCAGGGAAAGAGATACTATCTTGGAAACTTTGTCCCTTGGAGCATTTTCTTACTCCAGATGAAAAGTATGAGGTTGTTGAGCAGGTTATGGTTGATGCAACCAATCAAGTTGGTGTGGATATAAATCTAGCTGCAAGTCATGAATGGCTTTTTGCTCCTTTACAGTTTATTTCTGGTCTTGGGCCACGGAAAGCATCTGCTTTGCAAAGAGCATTTGTTAGGGCTGGATCCATTTTTAATCGGAAAGAGATACCCATGGGTAAGATTCTTAGAAAGAAAGTTTTCATTAACGCTGTTGGTTTTTTGCGTGTTCGCCGGAGCGGGGCAGCAGCTGCTAGTAGTCATATTATGGATCTTTTGGACGACACAAGAATTCATCCAGAATCCTATGATCTGGCAAAGAATCTGGCGAAGGATGTCTATGCTGAGGATGTTCCAAATGAAACAAACGATATGGATGATGATGTACAAGAGATGGCAATTGAACATGTTAGGGAAAGGCCTCATATGCTTAAAGTGCTTGACATCAATGAGTATGCCAAGAGCATTTTTAATCGGTATGGGACCAACAAAAGGGAGACTTTGTATGATATAAAGATGGAGCTTCTGCATGGATTTCAGGATTGGCGGACACCTTTTAAAGAACCAGCTGCAGAGGAGGAATTTGCTATGCTCTCTGGTGAAACAGATGATACCATTTCGGAAGGGAGAATTGTTCAGGTTACAGTGCGCCATGTACAAGAGTCTCGTATCATTTGTGCATTTGATTCTGGTTTGAAAGGGATGATATTCCCTGATGATTTCTCGGATGAAGGATATGATCATGAGAAGGTACATGAGGGTGATATTCTTACCTGCAAGATTAAGCATGTCAATAAGAATAGACTTGTGGTTTACTTGACATCCAAGGCTAGTGATTTAAGGAAAAGACCATACAATATTCATAATCGTGATCCTTATTACCATGAGGATGAGGCCAGTTTGCGGAGTGAGTTGGAGAAGGCTCGGAAGGACAAGGAACGTGCAAAGAAACATTTCAGGCCAAGGATGATTGTTCATCCCCGTTTTCAGAATTTGACAGCTGATGAAGCAATGGAGGTGTGTATAATTTGTAAATTGTATCTAATAATTTAATAACATCTCTACTTTGCTTAATGCTTGAATGCATTGAAATTAGGTCTTTAAACTTATTTATTGTGTACAGTACCTCTCTGATAAGGAACCTGGTGAAAGCATTATCCGGCCAAGTTCTAAAGGACCATCATTTTTAACATTTACATTAAAAGTTTTTGATGGAGTTTATGCTCATAAAGAGATAGTGGAGGGTGGAAAAGATCACAAAGATATCACAAGCTTGCTTCGTCTTGGAAGGACTCTAACAATAGACAAAGATACCTTTGAAGACCTTGATGAGGTCAGTACATAATTTTTAATTCTTGTTTATATTTATATTTTTCTGAGTTTTCAGTTCTTTAGTTCTTTTCAGTCTTGATAATACCTGAAGTGTATCATGCTTTATGGTTAACAATTATTATTATTTTTGTATATGCATCTTGAAAATTCTAAATATTACCAATTTTGGATTGTTGTTGAATGTGGCATCAAAATTAAAAAAAATCCATGAGACATCAATTTTTTATATAATAGTTTTTATTATGTATTGAAATTGTACAAGTCATGCTAAATTCTGAAAGAGCAATGAACTAAATAATTTGATTGTCTTATTAAAAAAAAATGACAGCTTAGGTTGCTATAGTTGTTATAATTCTATTTCTTCAAGGAAGTGCTTAGACTTAATATTTGCTAGTAATAAGCTGTAATATTTTACCAATATTTAGGAGTTTCTCATAGAACTTGGAGAAAAATATAAGAAAATGCAACAGGAAGGTTATTGATCTAACTTTGCTCCTTGATTAAATTGGTATCTTATTAGGTGTGTTTTTATATCCAGATTGTTAGCAGTAAAGCTAAGACAGTACAAATGCTTTTCCAGGCTATAGTGTATTTTTTTAAAAACTTCTCCATTCTTTCATGTCAAGTTTCTAATTGGTAAGAGTAGGTGCAAAACCAAAGCTAATAGATTTCTTGACTTATATTTTTGGTTAGTATGAAGCTAGTTTGCAAAAGCCTTCTCCAGCGTCTAGTTTACTTTTTGGCATTTATATTTTCCTTTAACATTTTGCACAAGCTTGCTGTAACCTTTTGCCAAACTAAAAGGTTTGGTTGTTTGTGAAATTTCTCAGTATCTTAATCAATTGATTAACTATATAATTGTTGCTGTAACCTTTTGCCAAACTAAAAGGTTTGGTTGTTTGTGAAATTTCTCAGTATCTTAATCAATTGATTAACTATATAATTGCTTAAAGAAAGAAGGATTAATTATATATCTTCTATTCTGTCAATAAAAAATTAGGTGAGTTGAGATCTCTTTCTAATGGCATGTTGCTCCCCAACTTTCAGGTTATGGATAGATATGTTGATCCATTAGTCACTCAACTGAAACACATGCTTTCTTACCACAAATTCAGGAAAGGAACAAAGGCGGAACTTGATGACTTGCTAAGGGCAGAGAAGGCGGCAAATTTAATGAGGATAGTTTACTGTTTTGGGATTTCTCATGAACATCCAGGGACTTTCATTTTATCATATATTAGGAGTACAAATCCACATCATGAGTATATTGGATTATATCCCAAAGGTTTTAGGTTTCGGAAAAAGGATTTTGATGATGTTGATCGCTTGGTGGCTTATTTTCAGAAGAATATAGACAAACCACCACCTGATGCTGGCCCATCGATACGAACACTTGCTGCAATGGTACCAATGAAAAGCCCTGCATGGGTTTCCTCTAGCGGGGGATATGTTGGTAGTGCTTCAGCAGGCAGTAATGATGGCTGGAGAGGTGATCGAGAAAGACCTTCCACCCCAGGTTCAAGAACAGGTATGTGATAAATGTTATAATTCATGAAATGTGATTTTAAAACTGATTAATGCTGTTTATTACACATTTTACCAGTTAGTGTAGTTGCTTCTGATTTAGTAATCACCATTTGTCACTAACCAATGCTTTTGAAAACTGAAACTTTTTCCTGATTCATTTGAATATACTTTATTAGTCCTTTCGAAATTTTTTGGGATTTTGAAAAGACAAAATGATTATTATTAGTGGTACGAGAAGAGATAGAAGGAAACTTAAAAAACTTTAATAAAAATTATAAATAAAGATTTAAATACTGTCAACTTAAGATGTGACTGTATTATCTCAATCATGGTAAAAGATTGATGTAGGTGTACTTCCATATTTTGTTATTTGTTCCCAGATAATTCAGCAATATTTGGTAATAGTTTGTTTGTTTGTTTGTGTACTACAAAAGGATTGTCTTCTTGTAGCATGGGTTTGCCAATATCTTTCTAGCATATTTCACCATGTTGTGCTGACTGGTAGGGCTGTACTCAGTTCATTTTGGTTCTATTTGATGAGTTTCTTAATCAAAATGAAGGCCTCATGTTTTATTTGCCTTAAAACAAATCTGATCCCAAGAAGAGTAAAAGCCAAAGTTTGAACCAGATCAAGTTTCTTGGTTCGGTTAGGCCCAGTTCGTTTTTAATAATAAAATAAATAAATAAAAAATAAATAAATAAATAAATAAATACTTGACTTGTTAGTTTTAAAGCAGGTGGATTCTCCCATTGCTGGTCACAAACAGCTGTCTTTTCATAAAAAAATTCCATCTACTTTAACTTTGTATAGTCTCCACACCATAGTTACAGAACTTCTCTTCTTCCTACCTAGAATTGCTTTACCTAATCTGTTCCCAAGAAGATCTAAAGCCAATGTTTGAACTGAGTCAAGTTTCTTGGTTTGGTTAGGTCCAGTTCATTTTTAATGATAAAATAAATGAATAAATACTTGACTTGTTGCCTTTAAAGCAGGTGGATTCTCCCATAGCTGGCTACAAACAGCTGTCTTTTAAATTTTTATCAAAAAATCATCGTACTTTTAACTTTATTGTTGAGTCTCCACGCCATAATTACACAACGCTGCTTCCTAACTAGAATTGCTTTACCATGAGAAATGGGGGTTGCCATAACTGGACATTTATGTCTCCTTGTATTGATAGCTTAGAGACACTGATCCACTGCCACTGTGGATTATAAGAGCTGCATTCTCTCAATCCTACTCTTAGAAGCTGCATTATAAGATTCTCTCAATTCTATAAGAGAATCTTGCAGCTTCCATTTTACAATAGCCAGAGCCAACATCTGGAATCCTTTAATTAGAATTCAGGAGGAATTTAAAGTATTCACTGGTAGTTTCATAAAATAGCTTACCCTATCCCAAATGTATTATTTTATATTGATTTATGATTCAATTGAATATTGGCCTAACAAATACTTTAATTTGCTTTGAGAAGACTCTGTAGGAAACAAATGACAAATAGTTGGTTATTTTCATATCGAATCAATGTTTCAATTGTTATTATTCTACATATGAAGATTCATTATATCTGTTTTTAATGGGTTTCATTAACATGGATCAGTAATGATGTGACTGATTAATGTGGTGCTGCTATGAGAATTGTTGAGAAGAGGCTAGAATTGACCTACATCAGTTTGAAAATTAAGAAAAGAGTTCTGGTATCAATATTGCAAATACTGGTTTAGAATATTTTACAATGTGGCTCTCCACCGGACCTCTATGATTCGTTGTAGGGGTAATATTCAACAGTAGGACTCAAAAAAATTGCAAGGTTGTTTGTCCTAAATTTTCTGCCCTGAAGACAGTAATGCACTTGACTTTAAGTCATAATTGACACCGACCTCTTTTGTCTTGTTACCTCAAATCCTTTTCGAATGCCACTCCCACCAACTTTGCATCTTATTATTAGTGCATGTTTGGATGTACTAATTTGACAAAGTTTATTTGATTTATTGATAAAAACTGGGGTCGTCTTTCCATAACATTATGGTTTGTGATTCATCGTGTAAGTTAATTTTCATCATAACAAGTATGCTTGGTTGCTGCCAGCATTTGTTTGCATATTCTTACCATGTTTGTTGCTTTTGCAAGCAGGTGACAGATTTGACTCCAGGAGCACCGGCAGTCGAGATGTTCATCCGAGTGGTCTTCCTCGTCCAGGTCGAGGTCGTGGACGAGGGCGTGGCAGAGGAAATAATTTTGGTTCCGAGGACTGTGATTCTGATTATGGTTCTGCAAAATGGGGTTCAAATGAAAATGATGGCTTGAGCACATTTCCAGGTGCCAAGGTTCAGAATTCCCCTGGAAGAGATCCTTGGGGATGGGGCAGTGCGGGCAGTGGTGGTGGCCAGGGTGGGATCAGCACTGGAGGTGGTAATGGTGGTGGGGATTGGGGAAGTGGCTACGCCACTGATAGGGGTGGTGACAAGTGGGGTGGAGGTGGCATCAAGGGGGCTTGGAGTGAAGGTGGCAGTGGAGGTAGTAGCTGGGGAACAGGAGGCAATATTGGTGGTGGCAATGGTAGTAGTCCTGCTCCTGGTTGGGGTGGCAATAGCAGTGGCGGCGGCGGCGGCGGCTGGGGTGGAGGCACTAGCTTTGGTGGCAGACCTGGTGGTGGCTTGAGTGAGGAATTAGCAAATCCCAAAAAATCAGGTGGTGGTTTGGCTGCCGGATTTGGTGCTTCAAGCACAGGATGGAGTGATTCTAGGAGATCAATACCGTCTCAACCTGATACGGGAAATGGATGGTCCGGTGGTTGGTAATCTTGAATTTTAGTTATGTCCAACCCTATTGGAAGCGTAAGTTACTATGTGCTAATGTACAAATTTTGGGTTTTTTTGATTTTTGGACTCGAGCAATGGAACAGAGCAACCATCTTTACCCCTCTTGTCCATCTTTCTATCAACATTGTCATTAGTTCGGTTGTATGTTGGCCCATTTGGGTTACATGTGTACTGGACTCTTTCAGATTCAACTGAAAAGTTCTTTTCTATTTTGGTGTAGTTGAGCGTAAATAGAACCATCATTTTTTACTTTTACGATCCACATCGATTGATGTCTTCTTGTTCGAATCAAAATGGTGTTCTGAACAATTGATAACTTTTGTTACTCTTCATGTGATTGGGTTTTCATCATACTTACTATAAAATACTTGCTGATGTTAAAGCTTGGGTCTGCCACATCATCATATGACCCACTGCCATGTCAGCAAGGACCATCAAGCCCAATTAGCCTTACCCAAATCGACGTAAATCCCAAATCAATGTTATCCCAATCTTGGTTGAATCTTGTTTGACTCATTCTGGTATGAACTATGTTTGACTTGAACTCCTAATTCAGGTTACTCTGTTTCCCCGTACTCATCTTCCCTTTTGTACTCCTCCCTTTTCCAACTTCTCTATCTTCCCCTCCTCCCTCACTTTCACTATCTTCTTCCCCTCTTACCTCCTCCTCTCTGTCCTCCTACTACTCTTTTTTTTTGGCCTCCTCGTATTCCAAAAATACTTCTAAATTCAAGAAATATTTATTTTTCTCTAAATCCTCTAAAAATAAAAAGAATAAATGAGTATTACAATCATATATGAATACATATCTATAAATTTACTAAAATATATGTAATTTTGAATTAAAATATACTTGACTACGGAATCCTCTATTCCAAAAATGGAT